TGCTGTGAACAGTAATGCTATATATCTGTCTATTCTTGTTTCTATAACATCTGTTGTTTCTAGTATTTTGACAAGCTTTGCATTACCAACCCTTTGCAGACTTTGTGCTATTGATCTTTCTAACACCTTTCCTAATAAACTCCCAGGTCTTACTTCGTATGTGTTACCTCCCATACTGATTGTTGCCGTTTTATTTGTTAGTTGGTTTGGTACAGCTGTTGCTATATCACATGTTTACTTTGTTAGACTGTTTTTGTACATATATTTGTTTGTTTACCTTACTTGTTTTGTTGTGCTTTTCACGTAACCTAATTGATCTGTGCAAAAGGGTCACAAGAATTTCTCAAAATTTACAAAAAAATTTTTTGTTTTCGGCAAAAAATTTTATTTTTCCAAGCTTTGCTGTTTCTATGCTATTTTTATTTGTACTTTGTTCTATTAGCTAGGTGTAAATTTTGTTACTCTTTCTTTTCTACTAAGGGTTTTAGTGTTGCTTCTTAGTGTGTTTTGTGATATTTTTCTTGTTTTGCTTTTTAATGATTTTGGTCAAAGGATCTGCAGGAGAGAGTTGTTTGCTATCAAATATATCATTATAAAATTCTTTATTGATTAATATAAAGATCTATATAAGAGTTTTTTAACATGTTCTTGATCTTGAAATTGGATTCTAAACTGATCTTTAAGAGAAAAATATATAGCTTTTTTTCGAATCTTTTGTTTAAGATAGCTGGATTTATTATATATCAAACAATATTATAATTTCTTATATTGTCCAATAAATGCACAATATAAATCTATGCACATATTAACAAATATTGCTTCTAAATTAACTATGTTTTTTAAAAATTTTTTGCTAAATATAATGTTATATCTTCATAATTAAAAATTTTCAATATCTCTTGATATATTTGATTTGTTAAAGTTTTTTTTTTGCTTTAAGTTTAAGCAATCAAAGAGCCTTCTTTATTGTATCATTTAATTCTTCAAATTTAGATTTTATATAATTTAAATAATAAATATAAAAAATAATAATAACAAATATTAATATTTTACTATTATCTAAGTAGTTTGAAAAATATTCAATGAAATTATTATCATTTTCAAGTATTTTTTCTAATTTTGAATTTAATACCAAATCAGTTTGAATTAACCCAGATTCATTAAGAATTGATTCAGATTCATTAAAAATTAATTCAGATTAATTAAAAATTAATTTAGATTCATTCTGAAGTGATTCAAGTTCATTTATAATATTTAAATTATCTTTAAAAAAATTTAAATCACTAAAAAAAAAATTAGGCTAGTATATTAAATAATTTAATAATATATAATTATTTAATTTACTGTTGTTTCTTATTTATTATTTTTATAATTACTATTACTATCTAATAATGAATTAATATATTCATTTATTTCTAAATTAATTTGTTGAAAATATTATTTTATATGCTTTATTAATAGTAATTAATTATTATTTTTTAATATAGAAAAATTTTAGTAATGATAATTCATCATATAAGACAGCTAAATTTATATTAAACAATAAGAATCTTGGTAGTTGTTCACAACAAATGTTGTTTTAATATAAATACAAAACAGGTTCTTCATTATCTTAATAATCTCAATAACAAATATAACTTTTATAAAAAAATGCTAATAATTTATTTAATTGCAATTATTAAATCTTTATTTTAAATATTTTTTTTAAATTAGTTTATATTTATTAGCAGTTATTATATAATAAATCATAATAAATTTTATTATTTATGTTATAATATGATTATACAGTTTTAGTAACAGTAATAAATTTATATATATGTATTTTAATTGGCTTTATAAAAAATATAATGTTTTATAAATATCTTATTAGTGATATTATCTATTAAAAAAAAGTACTTGATTAAATCTGTTATATACTAATTAATAACTCTATTAGATATATATATATATATATATATTTTTTTTTCCTTAAGCAGTCACACTAGTACTTTATTAAGATTCTTGAAATTACTTTTGCAATTACATAGATTTACCTAACAACTAAGTCTAGCATCACCTGGTCACCCATAAGGTATCTAAGTGCAATCTGCTGCACTACTTCTAACAGAAGTAGGCTACTTGTCTAACTACTTAAAGTCCATAGTGAAAGGGTCTTCTCCCTTCCATGACAAGTTCCAACATTGTCTTTCTACTTTCTTTATTAATTTTATTTTTTTTCTTTTTTGCTTGTTTCTTTTCTTCTTCAATTCTCTTTTGATTTGCCTTTCTTTTCTTCTTTGGATTTTTTTTTTTTATTTTCTTTTTCTTCATTTTGGTTGTTATGCCTTCTTTTTTTTTCCATTCATTAACCTTTTCACATCATATCCTCCAAACCTGTTCATAGAATGTGTCCCATGCTGTTTTTGCCACTGTCTCTATGAACTGCTGTCTTGCCTTCATATTTAGAAGCTATGTTAGTCTGTCTTGTGTTTTTTTCAGAATCAGGTCTTTGATTAATGCTCCTCTCATCTTTATTTCTTCTGCTTCATTTTTCCCAAAGAGTGCTGTATATAGTACATATGGTGGAATGTGAGTTTTTTCTTCTTCCTTTAACCCTTTTCAAGTTGTTGTGATAGTCACTTTTTGGATTCATTTTCATAGGTTCTGTTGTCCTTTGCATAATGCTAGATGTGATTGTGTTTCTTTAACTTTATCTTGACATATTTGACATTCCATTGTTGTATATATGTTTGGTCTTCTTCTGTTAAGTTCTTCTAAGGTTGGAAGTTTATCTATCATACACTTTATAAATGCACATCTTCTTGTGCTACCTCTTCTCATTGTGCAATGCACTCCT